TACAATTGTCAAGCTAATAAATTTCTGTCTCTGTATAGGTAACCTTGTATCATTTGCTGAAGCTTTTTCAGTCAGATACCAATGCCATCCTGGGGAAGAAAACTGTAGTTTCTGAATTCTATGATGAAATGGTATGAAAGTTTTTAATGTATTCCCCACTTTATTGTGAAGAGTATTGGTGATATCATGTATTTTTCTGCTTCACTAGATATTTCAAGATCCAACTGCAATGATGCAGCAGCTGTTAACAACATCTCGTCAACTAACACTAGGTGCTTATAAGCATGAAACAGAGTGTAAGTTGAAAATTAATATATTTTGATACTAAAAATGAACAGTAGTTGGTTTTGCTCTTAGTGGTGTTTTTTTCTGGGCTGTAATACGGATTTGGGTTATTTTAATGGGTTTTTGCAATCTGGGCAGTGCAAGGGATTTGGGTGCTGCTAAGCAGTGATATTTTTGCATTCAATTTAACTTCAAGTTTTGCAAAGATATTAATACTTATTTGAAAACTTAAAGATTTTCTGATCTATATGCCTGGTGAAAAAAGAATTAGGTATTACTCAGTATGAAGAGTGAAAGCATGATCTACACCTAATTTAGCATCTTTGACATGAGTTAAAACAGACAATAAATTAACTGTGTTACAGTTCTGTTCAGCACTGCAAGCAAAAGTCACACTCAAAGCACTGAAATATGGAACAGTTAGTGATGTTTAAGTCAAAGCAGCAACCCTTTGGGGATAAGGAGTGACTGAAAGCTCTTCCTGATTTTTTCACTTCTAGGTTTTTAACTGTAGGTAATTTCATAACATCCTTCTTCAGTAAAGCGTAATGTTTTTGCATCCTTTTTATCTAATTTGTCTCCAAATATAAACTAAAATATTAAGGGAATTAAATTGAATTAAGATCCATTGATTCATTAGTTGTAATGCATTTATCATAGAATCAACCGGGTTGGAAAAGACCTCAAAGGTCATCAAGTTTTGATCTTCTGGATTTCATTTCTTATCTTTTACTCTCAGAAAGGAAATGCAATAGTATTTATTGAGCTGAAATCCTTGTTAATTACAAACTTGAATGCCATCGTAGTCCAGCTCACCTGACAACAAATGTCAGGTACTTTTTGGACAGTGAATACTGAGATCTGAGAGTGGAGAGTGATTATGAGTTTGAAGATCTTCAGAGTTAGGGTTCCAATTTGCCTTATGTCTGTCTGGCTGTGTCGATGTGTGAACTACTTGTATTTTCTATGTCAGTTTTGCCAGTCTTGAGGTGGATTTTTGTTATATTCCATGTTGCTATGGTTTATGTGTAAAAAATGTTTAATAATATGATTCGTATAAAAGTCCAAATTTCAATTTTTCTGACTTAAAATTGTTTTATGTCCCTCCAGAGAGTAGATAGAAACTTGTAATGTGTTTTTGTATATATCTTTCCTTAAAATGTGCTACTGAAACAGATTAAAATTTGCCACTGCCATGATTATATAATATATGGGATATGAAGGGATCTCCATGGCTGTCATAGTTTGTTGGCTTTACCATCTTTGTCCAAAAACTTGTGCACAAAAAAAAAGGAATAGTAAAAAAGATATTTGATGTCAGATATTTGTAAAAGCAAAGGCAGCACCACTGAAATGTTTAGATACGTAGAATTAAACTCCAGTGAGACAAAAAGCAGAAAGTGGTTACAGTACATAGAAAAGGAACCACAGAATGTTTGAGGCTTGAAGGCCCCTCTGGGTGCCTTCTTGTCCATCCCCTGCTCGACAGGGCCACCTACAGCTGATTCCCCAGGACCGTGTCCAGATGGCTTCTAGATGTCTCCAAGGATGGAGATTCCGTAACCTCTCTGGGCAGCCTGTGCCAGCACTCCATCACTTTCACCGTATAACTGCTGATGTTCAGAGGGAACCTCTCATGTTTCTGTTGGTGCCTGAGGCCTCATGTGCTGTCACTGGGCACCACATATAAATTATTCATGATTTTCTGTAATTCCCCATTTATTTGCTGACTCCATGTCAGGTTTTGTTTTCCCCACTTTAAATAAACCTAGAAAATTATTTCATGAATTGCATAACTCTATCCACAAAATTGATGGGCTGAGGGCTGAATGAAGCCACAAAGCAAGCTGGGTTTTTTTTTAAATGCACGTTTTTATTTGGATACCATTTTGATTGCAATCATTGAATCTCCAAGGCTAACACATAATTCTGGTTTTTTTCAGGACACATGCCATCCAAAATACTGTTGCAATTTTTTAAAATAAATTACGACTCTTCGTGGTACTTACGTAATTTATCTTTCTTTATCACCACCACAGTTGCAGATCTTGAAGTAAAAACCAGGGAAAAACTGGAAGCAGCCAAAAAGAAAACTAGTTTTGAAATTGCTGAGCTTAAAGAAAGACTAAAAGCAAGTCGTGAAACCATCAACTGTCTAAAGAATGAAATCAGAAAACTTGAAGAAGATGATCAGTCTAAAGATATGTGACAAGTGGTGACTTGATAAAGAGCCTAAAAAAAGACTTCAGTCATGGAATTGTATGTGTTCTCTTCAGTTCTGTAACTGAGACTATGAGAATTTCATTGGCAAATGATTGAAGTTTCTGGCAATCAACTTCATAAATGGAAAAAAAAAGAAAGAATGTATCCTTGTTTAATAGTTAAAATCTGTGGGTACTCAATGGTTTCTTTCAAGTAGAAGAGGTCTTGGAGACCAGACTACTTTTTTTTTTTTTTAAAGTGCATTTGAGTTGTATATGAAAACTTTGTATTAAGTCTTGTATTAGTTCAATGTGATTTTACAAAATGCTGGTGTTTACTTTTTTACTTTTTTTTTTATTTATACATACTGATAGTTTAGAGATGCATCTTTACGGCTAAAAATAAAATACACTTTTTTTGTTTTATTATCTTTTGTATCTGTCCAGCTGTGGCATTCAAGAACAGCTGTAAATAGCATACCCTGACTTAAGGCAGGGGCTGAAATGGTATGCAAGTTGCTTAAGTCTGGCTACAGTGATTTTGGCATGTCTGTCTCGTACCAGCACAGTGAAAACACTTCCTGAAAACAGGATTTTAAGTAACTTGTGTATGTACAGCTAAGAGTTTCTAGCCCCAAAGCTGCTTTAACCACATATAAATGCATCAATGAGACAAGCTATGCTCAGAAGCAGGAAATCATTCCAGTCCTGTTTTGTAGGAGTTGAAT